CTCTTCGGGTCGGGGTGTCCGAATTGCACAGTGCCTTCTGGAAAGGGCTGATGCCTGTCCAACTTCGGGGTGCCATTCCCCCCGAGTCTTTGGGGCCTGGTGGAGCTGCAGAGTGCAACCTGGGCGGCCTTGGGTGGTGGCCCCGATTGCTGAAGTTGGCAGGCCAGCCCCTGCAGAGCCTGGGCGTGTGCCGATGGGGAAAGATTGACAGCGTCAAGGGCAGCGTGGAGGACATCAGAGCTGGAGTGGGGCAGAGGTCACTCTGTGGGAGGACGGGGTGAGATTTCTATCGCCTGCCGAGCTTTCAGGGAGGCTGCTGGAGGAGGTATTGGGCCTGGCTTCCTGGGAGGCTCTGGGTGTGGGGTGTGGTTGACCTCAATCCTCAGAGGGGGCTGGGCAGTAGGCAGCAGGGGACATGCACTCACCAAGCACTGAGCTCTCGGAACATGTGTCAGCCTTTCCTCTTGTTCTTTCCTCTTTGAAAATCTATTTGCGCCTTCATGTGGGGGCAGAGCGTGCTTTCCCTGCAACCCCACGCTTCCCAGGGAGCAAGCGGGTTTCCTGAGAGGGCTCTGTGCTGCCGACGGAGTGCTCAAGCCAGTACTCATCTGCAACGCTAGGTCCCTTTGGAGATCCGAAATGGAGCTGCTGAATTGTTGTCATGGTTACCTGGGACAGTTTCAGAGGCCAGGATGATTTCAAGGAGGGCACCCCTGAGCTGGGTATCCTGGGTTTCTGAGTAGGCGACTGAGCCCAGAGAATTGCTTCCTTCTTCCTTCTCCCAAGCTCCCAGTCCCTCGCCAGGAGCCCGGCTGTCACTCAGCCCAGCCCACCACTCCAGCCCACTCTGGCCACAGCCTTCCGAGATCAGGCTGACCTGGCAGCACCCTGGCAGGCTCGGGCTGCCTCCTCCCTCTACCACCCAGCACAGTTTCCCGGACTCGCTCATGCATGCAGCTGCTACGAGGCGAACGACATCTGTGAGGCAGCTCTCTGCATTTAATATATTAATAAGGAACTGACATTTTTGAAAACCTATGAGCCCAGCACTTCACACGCATCTCATGTAATTCACCAACCTGCTGCTGGAGGGAATAGCGTTCACATTTTATCTGTGAGGAACCAGAGGCTGGCAGAGGGGATGCCTGGGGCTGTACAGCAGGAAGTGGCAGAGCTGGAATTCAAATTCAGGTGGGTAGGTTCCAAAGAAAGTCAGTCCTCGCTGCTCCAAGTAACGGCTGCCATGTTAGCCACTGAGCATTGGTGGCTCCAACAAGGACTCTGCATTGTCTGCTGGGCACACAACATCTGCTAGGTCATTTGATAAACATGTCTGGGGGCTGCTCCATGCAGACCTTCTGCTGGCTACCGGAGACACAGAGGTAGATCAGGCACAGTGCTTGCCTCGAGAAACTAACCCACTGGCAAGCAGCAGCAATTAAAAAGGGGAACTCTGTAAGATGCTAGACAGAGGGCAGTCAGGGAATCAGTCTGGAGGAAATGACACCTGACAGCTAAGTCTCAGAGTCTGCCCAGATGTGGGGATAAACAGCAGAGTAGGCCCAGTCCCTATGCCCCAGGTACTGGCAGGAGAGCTACGGAGGTAAGATTCATGCTTGTGACACGATCAGAAAGAATAAAACCCCTAAGGCTCTGAACAGGTGTTCTACACGTAAGTGTTGGAAGATTTGAAAACCCAAGGCAGCAGATGCTGGGGCCATTGAGGGCAGACTACAGAAATGAAGCAGAAGCCACTTTTGTTCATAAAGATGTCTTCTTAAAGGTCTTTGATCTCTCTTTCCCTCAACTCTTGCCATAGTTACTTCTGGCTCTATTCTGATTCCTTCCTTCCTTCCTTCCTTCCTTCCTTCCTTCCTTCCTTCCTTCCTTCCTTCCTTCCTTCCTTCCTTTCTTCCTTTCTTTCTTCTTAATTTCCTACTAAAGGAAAACACTCACCTATTCAACATCTTTAGAGCTTGTGCCGAGAGCAAGGCATTCACCTGCACCCCGATGGTGCAGTGGTGGGAATGTGTGACGATGAACAAGACATGGTTACACAGTCTCACGGAGAAAGTGTGAGAGATAGGAATTCCAAACCAAATAGCCGGGGGATGAACCAATTCAGACTAGGAAAGGGGGCTGTCGTTCAGGAGTGACTTCATCCTTGCAGGTTTGTTCATCCATTTCTTCAGCATTCTTTCTCTGATGCCTCCTACCTCCAAGGTCCTCTCCTCAAAGAGCCCACAGCTGAGCACAAGTGCCATGACATAAATATTATAATATACAGTATGGAGATACACAAGCACCAGGGGCAGACAGAGCCTTGGGTGCTCAGAGATAATCCACAAGTCAGAGTGGGGTAGCTTTTGAACTGAGTCTTAAAGCAAAAAAAGGAGTTTACCGGGGAAGAAGAGAGGAAGGGAAGTGGGAAAGCACTGAGAGTATGTTTGAAACAGCTCGGTGTGGGGAGTTTGGGGGTGGGGGAGTGAATTTTAAGATTTATAAAGGCCTTGTCCAGCACAGCTCAGTGGTTGAGTGTGCACCTATGAACCAGGGCACGCTTGGATTCCCCGACAGTGCACATGCCTGGATTGAGGGCTGGATCCCCAATGTGGGGTGTGCAGGAGGCAGCTGATCAATGATTCTCTCTCTCTCTCTCTCTCTCTCTCTCTCTCTCTCTCTCTCTCTCTCTCTCTCTCTCTCTCTGTGTGTGTGTGTGTGTGTGTGTGTGTGCAAATGTACAAAGGCCTTAAACACCAAACTTAGGCGAGGTAATGGGCAACCGTTACCTCTGAGGGGGTGAGGGAGGGCCACGCCATTTTTGTTTTGAAAATGCCCCTCTGCTCCAGCGGGCACGGTGGGCTGGAAGGGGAAGGACACCGGGGCTCAGCCACTGGCGGCTCCAGCCGCTGCATCTTTGTGCCAGAAAGGCTGCACCAGGACAAGCCAGGCCGGGGTGGGGTAGGGGTGGGGGGGTGGAGTTGGAGTTGGGGGTGAAGGGTGAAGGGAGAGTCTGGGACATACGCAGTTCTAGGCACTACACAGCTGCTGGGAGGACTCCCTCCGGGGCGGAGCTCGGGGCAGCACGTGACGCCTGGGGAGCCATCTTTACTGTGGGCAGTCCTTCCGTCCATCCGCGTTTCCAGGGGTCACCGCTTCGATACCCAACACCTTGCCCCTTTTCCGTGGCGCTCAAGGAATCTGTTCTCTTCCCCGCGCCCCTCCACGCTCCTCCTGCCAAGTGTGGCCGGGGAAGATAGGCAGCGGAGGAGGGCTCTGCCCGCCCTAAAGATGGCGACCTGCCGCGCTCGCTCCGGGTGGGGGCGGGGTCGGGGCGGCCGGCCTCACTGGGCGAGGCGCTGACGGAAGGGGCGTCTCTCGCGGTAACTTTTAGACCTTCCTGGGCGGGGCCTCTACATGGAGGGGCGTGGCCCAGCCTCAATTCTGACCTCGGATTGGCCTCTCGGCGGGTGGGCGGGGCTTCCGCGGCACCCGACCCCGCCCTCTGCGAACCGGAAGTGTCTCTCGCTCTTTCCAGCTGGTTGTCATTTCACTCGGCTCGGTCCTCGGGAGAAGGACTCAGCCGCGGCTGCGGGACCCGAGCACCGGGAGGCGGCGGCGGCGGCGGCGGCGGCGCCTGCGGCGACAGCAGAGGAGGAAGGAGAGACGAAGAAGAGCGAGGCGGAGGCCGCCACGACGACAGCGGGCACTGCGGACCGGGGTAAAGCGACGCTGGCGGCTGCGGCGGCGACGACGACGACGACGACGGCCCAGCAACCGTGAGGAGAAACAAAAGCCTTCTAAATTATAGTTAAAAAACAAACAAAAAAAACCTTGGGGGAAAAAAGAGAGAGCGCGCACCGGGGGGGAGGCCCGTCTCCTTTGACGACACTAGCGGGGTTTCCTGGCTCTCCTCCCCGCGGAGAATCGAACTGAGGGAACTGAACAAACCGCCCCGGGGTCCCATGAGGGAACCAGACCGCGGAGCCGCCGCGAGGGGAAGAGGCCGAGCCCGCAGGACCGTCCAGGTCGCCCCCGAGCTCCCCGCGCCCCCGGGCCGCCGGCTCGCCCTCCTGCAGTCTCGCTGATCCCTCCCGATCGCGACCCCCGACCGATCGGAGGGAGAAACGGGTGTTTCCAAGCCCATTTCATGGGGGAGAGGAAGCCGGGGGGGAGCCCAAGAACAGCGACCGCAGCGAGACCTGCACCCAGAGCCTCAGGGACAGCCCCCGAGGCCAAAGCTGCACCCCGCCAACGAGCAGGCACCGGACCCGGAACAGCAGACACCTCCCTGCGGTCACCTCCCCATTAGTCGAAGCTGATTTCCTCTCCCGCAACCAGGAATTCACCGCCCGCCCCAGATACCCTAATATAATCTATCTATCTATCTATATAAATATATAATATATAATGTTCTTAAATTATTCCTGATTTTTTTTTAACCAAGCTGCCAAGAAAAGAACGTATTCTCCCCCTCCCCCTTTTGCCCTATTCTAATTTTTATGTGAGTGAATCTAAACTGCTGAGGAAGACCATATGTGATTGTTAAATTATATATATATATATACATATATATATTTTTACTCCGCACAGTGCTTATTCTTCTACATCCATAGATGCTTGAGAAGCTGTGTTTTTGTCATTCATGTACATTTTCCTTTGGAAAAACAAAGCGCCTATTTTACTAACCAAAGACTTGATTTTTACCCTCTTCGTTTTTATTCCCTCCTAGAAGGAAGCCCATTTGGATGAGATTTGGATTGTGTGGGTTTTTTTTTTTTAGTGTGATTTTTTTTTTCTCTTCTTCTCAGAGACCAGAATCCCAAATCAGAACCATCTAGGGTGATAAGCTGCAATCTTTGAGCTAGCTATTAAAAAGACATTTCAAACAGATATTTTGGGTAGAGGATAAAAAGGCGTGAAACATCAGGTTGTCGTGCTTTTCATTTTTTATTTTTTGTTTTTTTTTTATTATAAGATTCTGCTCCTAAAAATAATAAATGGGGGATTACGGGTTTGGAGTGCTAGTGCAAAGCAATACTGGGAATAAATCTGCTTTTCCAGTCCGATTCCACCCGCACCTGCAGCCTCCACACCATCACCAAAATGCCACCCCCAGCCCTGCTGCTTTTATAAATAATAACACAGCTGCCAATGGCAGCAGCGCCGGCTCAGCCTGGCTCTTCCCTGCCCCGGCCGCCCACAACATTCAGGATGAGATCCTGGGGTCCGAAAAGGCAAAAAGTCAGCAACAGGAACAGCAAGACCCCCTGGAAAAGCAGCAGCTCTCCCCCAGCCCCGGCCAGGAAGCTGGAATCCTGCCCGAAACGGAGAAGGCAAAATCGGAAGAGAATCAAGGGGACGCTTCTTCAGAAAATGGCAACGGGAAGGAGAAGATCAGAATCGAATCGCCAGTGTTGGCCAGGTTTGATTACCAAGAAGCTGCGGGGCTCGGGACCTCCACCCAGCCCCTGACGTCCAGCGACTCGTCCCTGACCGGCTTCAGTAACTGGTCAGCGGCCATCGCGCCCTCGTCCTCCACAATCATCAACGAAGACGCCAGTTTCTTTCACCAGGGAGGGGTCCCCGCGGCTTCGGCGAATAACGGTGCTCTGTTGTTCCAAAATTTCCCCCATCACGTCAGCCCCGGCTTCGGAGGCAGCTTCTCCCCGCAGATCGGGCCTCTCTCCCAGCACCACCCTCATCATCCTCACTTCCAGCACCATCACAGCCAGCATCAGCAGCAGCGGAGGTCTCCTGCCAGTCCCCACCCCCCGCCTTTCACACACAGAAATGCTGCTTTTAACCAGCTGCCCCACTTGGCGAATAACCTGAGCAAGCCCCCCTCTCCGTGGAGCAGCTACCAGAGCCCCTCGCCCACCCCCTCTTCCTCCTGGAGCCCGGGCGGCGGCGGGTACGGCGGCTGGGGAGGCTCCCAAGGCCGCGATCACCGCCGGGGGCTGAACGGAGGGATCACGCCCCTGAACTCCATCTCGCCCCTGAAGAAGAATTTCGCAAGCAATCACATCCAGCTGCAGAAGTACGCGCGCCCCAGCTCTGCCTTTGCCCCCAAGTCCTGGATGGAAGAGAGCTTGAACAGGGCCGACAACATCTTCCCTTTTCCGGTAAGATGTGTCCCCGGTCAGATAGATGAATAAGGGAGCGGCCTGGTGCGGCATCCAGCTGAGCGAGTGTGAATCGTCCGCGTTGCCATCAGAGCCCTTCTTAGAATAGGACCTGGCAGGTGTTGTTTGGGTGGGAGGGGAGTGTAACCTGGAACAAGATAGTCAGCTGTTTCTTGGGTACATTCCTCATTGTGATCTTATTGTATGGCTTGGCGTCATTCATACCAGGGAGCTGGCTAGTGATGTCATAATTATTAAGTCATACCTTTCTGGCCGGACAGGAGAATCAGGGTTAGCTTTTCCCCACCTATTTACATGAAGTGCATAATGTTAGGATAGCTCTGGCTGGGGAAGCAGCTGCGCGTTTCCTACCTGTATGCGGTGCCTCTCCAACCAAAGAAATGCCCTTTTCGCCACCGTCAGGTGGCAAGTCACCGAAAACCAACCCTTAAATTGTAGTTTTTTCACGCTCACATTTCACACCTGGAACCTCTCCGAGCCGTGCGGCGTGAACAGTCTGAACGCATTAATTTCCTTTGAAACCTCTGCAGTTTCTGGCCTGCCTAGTGTCAGCAGGGGCTGCTGGGGAAACGCTCTGTTTTCTTCATGCGCATGTATTTGTGAGTACTGTGGAACCCTAGATCTCAGAGAGACTCTTTTATGATGCCTTTCACCCATTTGTTTATTTTCCAATGTTAACACTAGGGGTGTAGCTAATTAAACCGTGCCTAAAAATAGATCCAGGCCAGGATGGTTTGTCTCTCTGCCACCAGTGTGTCCTTATTCTGCAAGACTCGCATTGTTTGATGTTTCTGATTTAATGAGCAGCCGGTCTAGCCGATAGATATGAGATAAGGGGAGTTTCATAGTTAATTGAACATCAGATGCCCCACTAAATTGTATATTTTGGAGGTATGATCATTTATGTGTTCAGAAAATTTATATGAGATAATAAACTAACATTTAATCAGTCTTCACAGGAACCCCACAAGGTAAGTTCAATTATTATCCCATTTTACAGATGAAAAGATAGAACTTTCCTAAGAGCAAACAGCTCATAAGAGTACAAACTCTAGGTTAAAAAAACAAGGATTAAAAATATACCTGTATACACACATGCTTATACATACACATGTGTTGTAAGTAGAGAATTATATTAGATCTCGTTCTGCAAGGGCTAAAACAGATTTCGTGAAGATTATCTGTTTTAATTAGTAGTTTACTTAGTGGCAGGGGAAGTTTGCTAAGAAAACACTGTGTCATTCCTTGGAAATAAACCCTCTCTAAGGATTCAGGTGTAATGGTTAGAATGGATCTTAAAATATTTGGTTAACTTTAGTTTTAAATTCTTTAAAAACAATTTTTGGCCTAAGGATCAAAAAGCTCTGTTGACTTCTGTTTTTAGAAAGAGATTTTACTCAGACCAAAGGGAGCAATTCTGTGTTTCAATGGTCAGGTAAAAGGCCAATCTCATGAAGTCTGGTTTTAAAAAGTTGTTTTTGACATTCCTTTGAACATAAATTTAAGGGAAATTTAATGCAAAGGTAACTGTTATGAGTTACTCATATATTATTTAAAAACATCTAGGTGGCATATTATATATTTTAACTGGATTAACATTAGCTCAGAATTGAATGTTGAATACACTATTCTTTTTTATTTTGCTATTATACACTAATAGAATGACCTCTATTTTTTATTTTGCTACTATACACTAATAGAATGACCTCAAGGTTTATTTTCCATTCTCAGTTTACTAACTTTGATAAAGGTTCGCTTTGGGAAAAGTAAAAATTTCAGAAAATGAATAAACAACATGTGTGCACATGAATAATATTTTTATGAAGCTAATGGAATGTGTTTAACAAGTGAAGTCTTTTTCATCAGATGGTTTCTATTAAGTTGGTTTCTGAAATAATAAAATAGGCTAGGATTGTTACTAAAATATATTGTTAGAAACTAACTCATTCCTTGGAATTTTTATCTCTTATGTGAAGATGGGAAAAAGGAATCAATATACCTGGCTCAAATATGGTAGAATTAAAAAGTAAATTGCTGATTTCTCCTGACCATCCCCACAATTTTTGGAGAGATGGGGGAGAGAGTGTGTAAGAGAGCAGGAGAGCAAGCACACATGCGCACACGCATGAGCATGCAGGCTCTAGCATTGGGGTGATTTGAAAGTCACAATAAAAATAAGTGATTTGAAAAAAATCTTTGTAACAAATTCCTAATTGGGTTTTGAAAATATCATAAGAAGTTAGTAAACTGACTGGAATGAATGTAGTTCTGTGTGCTTGTTTTAACAAGAATTCTTTTAAATTAGTTATTTGGCACAAAAAATAGTTTTGAATTGATATGAAGTGGATAAATTTGATATGAAAAAACTTGAAGGGAAATTTATTTGACTGGGAGCCAGGAGATCTGTGTTGTGGTCTTGGCCCTATCAGTTGGTATCATAGCATTGGGGGACTCAGTTTCTTTATAAAGTGTGGGGGGGTGACCTAGGTGATTTCTAACTTCCTTTTGATCCTAAAGCAAAGTAAGCCACTATGGAATTCACCTCCACAATCCACTCTTAAAACAAAACAAAACCACCAGTACTCTCTTATTTAAATGTATTTCTTTGAGCACTATTAATTTTAGGAAAGAAATTTTATAGATATTAGTAATTCAGTTTCAGTTGCTATTCCGTAGGTATAAGAGAGATCTTAAACTTACCACAGACATTACAGGATAGAGCTGATTTATAACATTGGTATCCAATCAAAGACCAGCATGGTATTGCTTTTTAAAAGGAAATATAAAATGTAACTAATACTAGACAATGTTTATCAGAATGGTTTTTTATTTGTTTAATGCAGCTTTGAGTATCATATGGTAAATTAAAAGTAGTGGTAACATTTTTAATGAGGTGGAGTTTTTTTTGTTTTTTTTTTCCCCATCTTAACCTTCTCTTTTATGCATGTTTATGGAGCAGGAGCACAGATTCCAAATAATCTTCCAGATAACTGATATGCCAAAGCATTGTATTTTGGATATTTTGTATTAAAATTTGTTTCTGAGTTTCACTTAACTTAAAGTTTTCATTGTGTGAATTCAGATATTAACATTCCTCAAGTCCAGTTTTCAGATACAACTAAATTTAACATATATTTAATAATGGCTAACGTGTCTGTGATAGTCTAAGTGTCTTACAATGTATAAACTCATCTAATACATTCAACAATCATACAAGGTAGAATTATTATTATTATTACATAAAATTTGGCCCTCACCTATTACACTACAGTGCCTCTTCCCAAAGACCTGATACCGGTGGGGGCCTGGGGTAGAGTAAGGAAATGCCTCCCAGAAGCATGTAATATGAGAGGAACCTTTTTACAGAGAATAATTGGTACATGCTGCTCTAAAGCTGATTATAGATAACATTTTAAAAGTAGAAAATAATAGAATATATTTATCAACTTTTAAATGTTAAACTTAGTATTCAAACCAACCTTTTTTCTTTGTTTTTATTACACACTAGAGGCCCAATGCATGAAATTTGTGCAAGAGCAGGCCTTCCTTCCCCGGCTGCCGGCACCAGCTTCCCTCTGGCACCAGAGACCCGGGCTCCGGGTTGCCCGGAAGGACATCTGATCTAATTAGCATATTACTCTTTTATTATTGTAGATAACTTATAGGCACTGAAATAGGTGCTTTTACATACGTTATCTCACTTCCTATGTGAGATTTCTCAGCCCGTGAGGTCTGGTTTTATTGTCCCAATTTCAAAATGAAGAAACGTGATCCATATTCATGTGACTATAGACTTGATTTGACCTTTACATTAATGGGGGGCGGGTGTGGGGAATCCCCGGCCTACAAGCACATCCTGGAATTCTGATGTCCAAACCAAATAGTATGTTGGGGCACCGCCAACAATTGTATTTGACTGTGGCATTTCTTTGGGGGGTGCCTAGATCATCTAAGGGGAATTGTGTAGTATCTATTCTCATACTCTCTTACCTTCAGCTCAGTATGTTCCCATCTCCGTTAGCTAAGAACCGGAAGGTGGGCAGGAAAGAAAAGGGGACAAAACCTGTCACAAAGGTTGATTGGTAGGACTTGGAGATTATTTGCTCTGACTACAGACACAGTCACCACGGATTTGTTTTCTTAACCAGGCAAATAATTCATGCCACTTTAATAGTTCTCCTTGGGTTGTCAGTTTATTGATTCTTAAAATTATAAATGCAATCTTATATTTTAAAACAGAAAGTGTTCTATGTTGCTTCAGTTCTAAAAGTCAAGGTGTATTATTGTCTAAAGTGCAACCTCATTACATTTTGTTTTTGTTTTTAATATAGTTTTAAGAGGGGTCTTTGCATAGGAAACTTTGATTTTGTATTTATTTATACAAGAAGAGGGAAACTAATATTTTCACTGTAAATTCCAGCAAAATTGAGATACTAGAAAAACTTTTGGAAAAGCCTACCGGGTCTAATTTTATGTCTTCTTGTAGAGAGCTTTTTAACTAGGTGATATTGCTTTCCTGATGGAATAGAATTTGGGTTGGGTAGAGTTTTTTATTATATTTTGTTGTTGTCTTCAGAGAAGCCATGGAATATGATGAATACATTATTCCAACATCTTTCAGGAAAAAACTGTTTATTGTAAGCCTACTGATTGTGTTTTTTTTTTGCAAATTGCAACTAGAAAGATGCTACTTACTTAGTGAGTTTATGCTTTTGAGAATAATCCTTATTGGTGGTCATGAGAAAGAAATGGAAAGGCTGTCACATTTGTCTCCTTTGAATTTTAAAGTCTGAATTTATTTTTCTTGTGACTGTTCTCTCTGTTTCTAGAAGGAGGATAAGCTGGGAGATCCACCATCACGTTTCTCCAGCACTGTTATTGTACCTTCGTTTTTTGCCCCATCACAGATAACATAATGTGTGTAACTTGTCTCTCTTTAAGGCAGTGAGCCCATCACTTTAGCATTTATCTTAATTTTT